AGTAGGGGTAAGTATACATACAGCTGATCCACGCTATTGTAGGCACAAACCCACACAACACTGAAAGCAATTATCCTCCAATTTAAAGTAAATTTAAATATATATATAAGAATTCCGTACTAAGTCACCAAAGGCACTGTAGAAACTTAAGAAACTAGGGACGAATGTCCTAAGGCTTCTATGAAGAAGATATAACCATGTGGGGAACTGTTTAGTCAAGTGGCAGCTTCATGCTTAGTACCATGAGGAATTCAGAAAACAGTCTGACGATCCCTGGGAGGCAAAGAATGACTGAAATAATAAAATATGAGGATACATCATTCAGGAAATTGTGTGTTTCATAGCCAGGAATCTTGGAGGTCCTGGGTAGCCAAAGTCAACAGGGAAGGCTTTATGGAGTTTAGATTTCAGACAAACCAGACTCTGAGAGGGGAAGAAAGCATTCCAAATAAAAAATAGATTCATGACTTTAAAACAAAATTTTAAATGAACAGAAAGCTATAAGTAATTCTGGGGACAATCCTGATAATTGTAGCTTATGCAATAGTGCTTAGTCATTCAGAGAGTCATCTGACTCTCTGCAACCCCATGGACGGTAACCCTCCAGGCTCCTTTGTCCACAGGGATTCTCCAGACAAGAATTCTTGAGTGGGCTGCCATGCGCTCCTCCAGGGATCTTCCCAACCCAGGGATCAACCCCAGGTCTCCCGCACTGCAGGCAGATTCTTTGCCATCTGAGCCACCGGGGAAGCCCTTTGTGAAAGTTGCTCATTCATGTCTGACTCTTTGTGACCCCATGGACGGCAGCCTGCCAGGCTCCTCTCAGCACACCAGGCTCTTCTGTCCATGGCATTCTCCAGGCAAGAACACTGGAGTGGGTGACCATCCCCTCCCCCAGCAGACCTTCCCAACCCAGGGATCAAGCCCAGGTCTCCCACCCTGCAGGTGGATTCCTCACCGCCTGAGCCAGCAGGGAAGCCCAAGAATACTGGCGTGGGCAGCCTGTCCCTTCTCCAGGGGGTCTTCCCAACTCAGGAATTGAACCAGGGTCTCCTGCCTTGCAGGTGGATTCTTTACCATCTGAGCCACCAGGGAAGCCCAAGAATCCTGGAGTGGGCAGCCTGTCCCTTCTCCAGGGGATCTTCCCGACCCAGGAATTGAACCAGGGTCTCCTGCATTGCAGGTGGATTTTTTACCAGCTGAGCTACCAGGAAAGCCTGATAACTGTAGCTTATGTAATAAAGTGAAGTGAAGTCGCTCAGTTGTGTCCGACTCTTTGCGACTCCATGGACTGTAGCCCCCCAGACTCCTCGGCCCATGGGATTTTCCAGGCATGAATACTGGAGTGGGTTGCCATTTCCTTCTCCAAGGGATCTTCCCGACCCAGGGATCAAACCCAGGTCTCCTGCATTGTAGGCAGACGTTTTACCATCTGAGCTACCAGGTAAGCCCTATGTAATAAGCTCCTATCAAAAAAAAGGCAAGTTATAGGGGACTTCCCTGGTGATCCAATGGCTAAGACTCTGTGCTCCCAATGCAAGGGGCCTGGTGTTTGATTCCTGGTCAGGGAACTAGATCCCACACGCTGCAACTAAGAGAAAGGCAAAATGACTGGTGACTTAAAGTTGTAGACTGTAGGCAAAATAAATATTGGAAAAAGGCTAGCAAAAATTATTTGGGTTGCAGAAACGTTTAACTCTATAAATTGTTTTAGAGAACCACCCCTAATCACAACTTAGCAACTGAACAACAACTTCTCCTAATTTATGACAATCAAACTGTATTAACTGTGCATTAGCCTGCTCACCAAATTTCTTTGCTAAAGATGAGAAGGGGGACAACTATCACCACTCTTAAAGTGCTATTAAATTAAAAGGCTGTATAATTCTAAGAGGGTCAGTGGGGCATAATACATGATTTTTTAAACACTTCTGCCAAAGAAAACTACCAAAATTTTAAAAAACTCTTACTGATCCTGAATGTTCTAACTGCAATTCATGTTTCCCAATCACTGACTTCTGACCAGGATCAAAGACGAGGAGAAATTAGAGCAAAAGCCACAGACCATTCTACATGATTCCCAACAGAGACAGAGGATCACTGAATACTACTCAATGGTACTCAATGGCAAAATTTCACACCAAAAGATATGTATGTTGACCACAGTAATAAACATACTGACGAACTTACTTCCTTAACTCAAACATTGCAAGTACCTCTCTCCTGACAGGGCTCTCTGTACATTTCATTCTTCACAGTAGAGAAAAACTCCATCAGTCCCCAAATCCACCGACGGAAAATGCTTAGGCCGTCCTCAGTTTGCAGCAGAGACGACAGCGCAGCCAGTCAACAAGGCTACGTCCACAAGACGCCCGTGTCCCACCCCTACCCTTTCCTCCCCTCATTTAGAGACAAGAGTTAACCTCCAGGAGATGGCGAAGGGCAGGGAAGCTGGGTATGCTGCAGTCCATGGGATCCCACAGAGTCGGACACAACTGAGCGAGTGAACAACAATGAAGGTGGGGGGAAACAGACGGCTCTCAGGACACACACAGAAAAAGAGGAAGACAAGAAAAGAGGTCAGGCAGGAATTCCCCAGCGGTCCAACGTTAGGACTTGCACTTCCACTGCCGGCAGCACGGAAGAAGGAGAGGAGCAAAGAAGGAAAGGAAGGGAGAGAGAAGGAAGGAAACACATCAGAGAATTCAGAGGAAGCAGTTTCAAAGCCATAGGCAGAGGCTCAGTGTAGCTGGTCGGAAGCAAGTGCTGCCCTAAGATTAAGAAAGGCTGAGATCTAAGGAAACTGAGATTTGATCATGCCATTAGCATCAGCTGTTTTAAATGCTTTTCAGTATCTTTCAGTAACATAGTTATGATTAAAGCCAAAATATAAGGAGTTTTATGGAGAAGCAGATAATTCCTCTCTCATCAGCTGCTGCTTTCAGATTCTGGCACACGCGTGAAACTAGAATCTAGCAGACTGACTGGGCTGCTATGTAAGCAGAGCAGCGCCAGGGCGACAACTAAGGACACAGTTTGTACACATTTATACAGGCCAGGCAAAATCCCAGCCAGGCTTCCTCAGAACTAGGGCAGGTCTTTTTTTTTTTAATTTGTACTTATCCCCATCTCCCAGGTCACTTTAAACAAAACACACCTTGAGTCGGGATGCATAGATGCCTGTTTTTTCTGAAGATACTCAGATGTTCATTCATTCATTAAAATCAAATGTCACAGGACTTCCCCAGTGATCCGGTGGTTAAGATTTCAGTTTGCAATGCAGGGGACACGGGTTCAGTCCCCAGTTAGGAAACCAAGGCCCCATATCCCGAGGGGCAGCGAAGCCCGCGAGTTGCAGCTCCTGAGCCCCGAGGCCACAACCAGAGTCCGTGAGCCGCAAGGCAAGACCCCCCAACCCAACAAGCAGCCTGTGTGCTGTCACCAAGACCCAAGGCAAGACCCCCCAACCCAACAAGCAGCCTGTGTGCTGTCACCAAGACCCAAGGCAGCCAGGTAAATAAACGCTAAAATAATAATAAAGTAAAATTATTTTCCTTTCTCTTCCTTCTCTGCCACCAGCATGTGACCACAGAAAGAAAACAGTTTGTTTTTTATGTAACACAGCTCTTACATGCTTCAACTGGCATGCTTCCCAATTAAACGCTGCACTTGCTCCACTTCAGCCCAGTCCCCTCCGAGGCAGCAGTGGCCTCAACGTGCGTTCCAAAGCCACAGAAAAGGGCCCGAACAGTGTCATTTGTCACTCACTTTATTCGGACACTTAAACGTACCTCTCTCCCGACAGGGCTCTCTGTACATTTCATTCTTCACAGTAGAGAAAAACTCCATCAGTCCCCAAACCCACCGACAGGGGAAATTTTTAGGCCGTCTTCAATTTGCAGCAGAGAAAATAGTGCAGCCAGTCAACAAGGCTACATCCACAAGACACCCGGGGTCCCACCCCTACCCTTTCCGCCCCTTGTTTAGAGACAAGAGTTAAAAGCTGCTGATTTTAAAAGTAGTAACCCACACATTAACGCATAACCAGACATAAATAATGAGGTTTCTTAAAGAAGGACAACTTTTTCCAACTGGGTTATAAGATGATCAGGTCAGCCTAAGGATGAAATGAGAGGTTGAGAGAGACTGTAAAATGGGCAGATTTGCCTTCCTCCCTTAAAATCCCTTCAAGGTGCAGACGATTCAGCAGTACTGAGAAGGCCTCAGCTCTGACACGTTTTAGAACAGCTTCGACAACAACCGACAAAGAAAGATACTACTGTGCACCCGGTTTTCGCTAAACTGAATCTAAGGCCGGCCGGCCCATTCACGAATGGGAGCATGAAATGAGAGGCTTAGTTAAGAGAAATTTTGACACAAATAGAGATTCCTTGACCCACAGTTACTTTGGAAAGAAGCCATGAGAGGCTGGATCGGTTCTCAAACCTCAGCTAAGTGTGGCTCTTCTTTCTCCCCAGTGTGAAACAGCAAACGCACCTATAAGGTAGAGTTACCAGTAAGAGTTCCTTCTGACTTTGGAAGCAAGGAGAAGGCTTCCCAGATACACCCGGGAGACAGAAGGCAAACCGACATCAATTTAAGCAGGCCTCACGAAAGGTCTGATCAAACAGTGACATCTGTGGACAGGCACAGAGGGAAGGACGACAGCCTTGGGACTCCAGGGGAAAGGCCGTCAGGATGCTCTGTGGTCTCGGCTGACAGAGTCCGGGAATGACAACAGCCTTGGGACTCCAGGGGAAAGTCCTCAGGATGCTCCGCGCTCTCGGCTGACAGAGTCCAGCCTGTGTCCGCCCCTGAAGACTCCTCAGCAGACGCATCCCCAGAGCAGTCTCCACGGGAGTCCGTCCTCCTCCCACAGCGCTTAGCTGAGATGAGCGCCTCACGCACGTCCCCCCCAACCCGGTAGGGCCGCTGGAGCTTGGCGCCCGACCCTCGCTCCCCTCGGCCCTCTGCTCTCTGGCAGGGGGGGTCTCAGGCCTTTATCGCCAGGCACGGTTCAGGAGTTTGACCTGCGCCAGCCTCTTCGTGATCATGGTGGCGAAGACCAGGCCAAAGAGGACGCTGCTGATGAGCACATAGTCGTAGTCATCCTTCAGGACGTCGAACTGTTTGGACGGGTAGACGCGAGTCTGGTAAATGTCCAAACCGTACGCCACGACCTGGAGGGCAGAGGGAGCGAGAGACCCGTGAGAAAGGCGCTGGTGGCCCGCCACAGCCGCAGACTCCGGTCGCAAAGGAGACAGGCTCCTCAGTCATTTTCCCAAGAGGGAAGCAAACAGCAGGTGTCACGCAGGGCGGCTGTGGATGGACGAGGGGGCACAGGCTGGGCCGGGGGCTCTACTCACCAGACAAGTGGACTCCAGGCCCGAGGGAGCTGTGTAGATACCTCGCATTCGAGAAACTGTCTGGTTATAGTTGATGAACCGCTCTGCGTGGATCTGCACGTCTGGAGAATACGGGATCAGGTTCTCCTCTCTGCAAAAACACCAGCCAGGATCGCGTTCAAAGCTGCCGTAAGGGGATCCCCCGGCTGCCCTGCGCCCTGGGCAGTTTCCAGGCCATGGATCAGCCTCAGCCTTCCTCTGGGGCCTCCATGCGCTGGGGGCTGAACACTGAGCAGCTGGGCGTCAGGAAGGAAGCTGTGTGGAGAGTGAGACCTGCAGTCCCGCCTGGTTCTGAACGCAGAAAAACCAGTGTTTCACACGAGAGGAAGCAAGGGCCACTTTAAAACCAAAACACTGAGCCAGGAGGCCGATCCCGGCTCTTCACTCCAGACTGGCTCAGTCCACAGCTGCAGCCTCCCTCGCTCCAAGCCATACTCCTCCCTCCCCTCCACACGAGGACATGCCTACTGCCTCCTCACCCTGCCCACAGTTCCTCACAGCCCTGGGGAGGGAAACTCGGGACAGAGGCAAGAAAACACAGAGATGATGGCCAGAAATTTAAAAATGGACACTCTCAATGACGAGCCACCATCCTCCCCACGTGACCCGGACCTGGTCACCTCTCTCCGCGCATCTCCCACTGTGCCCGCCGCTGGCTGCTCCAGCCGCAGTGGCCTCCAACCCTCCCTGTAACTCGCCAGACATGGCCTCAGGGCATCTGCGATGGCGGTTTCCTCCGCCTGGAAGGTTCTCCCTCAGACATCCACAAGGCCAGCTGCTCGCCTCCTTCAAGTCTCCTCGAATGTCGCCTTTTCAGGGGCTTTCCCAGGCCACCCTCTCAAATCCTACCCCATGTACCACCCCTCCTAGCCCCCGCCCCTTTTATAAGAGTTTTTTCTCCTGAACATTTACAAGCATCTAGCATAGCATTATTTCACTTGTTTATCTTATTTATTGTCCATCTCGCCTCCCCAGCTAGAATGTAAGCTCCATGAGGGCAGAGTTGTTCACGGCCATGTCCGCAGCACAGCAGACAGAGGACCAAACATCATCAACAGGCAGAGTTCCTTAACGTCACAGCCTTCGGCGCATCCCACAAGAGCCTACCTGCTTTGTTCTGTTGGGATCTCAGGGCGGCGAGGATCCAGCAAGGCCTTAGGGAGGGAAAGGATCGCTCCAGAAGGCAGCCCAACTGCACAGAGACAAGTCAACAGAAGTGAATGTTCACGCAGACCCAATCCCAGATTAGGGCTACTTACAAAAATGTCCTTATCACAGAAATCAAAATAGAGTTTAAAATAAAAAATACAGGTCAATGAGTTGCCCTTCAATGGTCAAAGACAATAATCTTAATACACATGGGTCTGTAAGAAGGTTCTAACTTTTGAAGACACTAGTTGCTTCACATATCATCCTGAGACATCAGAAAATAAAGTTCTAGAATCAAGAACTAGGGAATGATGAAAGAGAAAAGAGTCGAAGGCACTTGGATCTCTGCATCCCCCATCCTGTCCTGCAGTAGCACCCGCCCAGCTCAGCAGGGCTCCTCGCTGTTGCCAAAAGTGAGCCTGTGCGCTGGGGCAGCAGGGAGGCTGGTGCAGGATGGGGGCGGGAGGGTGGGGGGAGAGGGGGACGTGGGGGAGGGGATGGGGTAGGAGATGGGAAGGGCCTGGCAACATGAGGTCCCGCAGGATTGCCTGTTTCAGGAACAGTGGGAATTACACGGGGGAAACTGCTAAGAGGGCCATCTTCCTCGCTTCTGAGGGTAAAAGAGTGGTGCAGAGTGTCTGTCAAAGCTCAGCCCCCCAGACGTCTTTGGTAGAAACAACTGGACGGAGCAGCCTGTTTTGCAGGCACTGAGTCCTGAATCTGAAGTACACAAAGGTGAGACCCTACGCCTCGCCAGTCTCTGCAGCACAGCTGCACAGGCCACCTGTGAGGGACGCCGTCAGGGCGCAACGTTCTGGGCGAGGGGCAAACAGCAGAGGCGCCGTGGGAACGGTCCATCAGAACCGAGGGGGGGGGGGGTGTCCGCTCCCTCACGGACCGCAAGCCCCACTGGGGAACATTTTCTGCTGAAACAAAGCGCTCCTCTCGGATCCCAGCTCTGCCCCCAGCAAGGCTGCCGAGGGTGCGGCTCACTCACCGAGCAGGTGGCGGCTGGTGATGCCCCGCTCTGTGATGGTGGCCTCCATGGCGCTGATGGCGGACGGGAAGATGTAGGACTGCTGCAGGACCTGGGGCAGCTGCGGGCGGTCCAGGGAGCTGAAGGCCGTGGCGTTGTACTGCTCCGTGCCTTCATAAAGCTCCAGCACCGTGAACTCGTTGCGCCGGGCCTTGGTGTTCCAGTACTGGTACTGCGGAGAGAGGAGGGGACGCTGCTCAGGGCCCAGCTGCTGGCTGGGCTGGAAGGGGAACTGACATGCAGAGGCTCGTCCGTGGAGGAAAAAGCCACCAGCATGCAGCTTTCCTCCTGCTACTGAGCTGGGCTTCCCGGGTGGCTCAGCTGGTGAAGAATCCGCCCGCAATGCGGGAGACCTGGGTTCGATCCCTGAGTTGGGAAGATCCCCTAGAGAAGCAAAAGGCTACCCACTCCAGTATTGTGGCCTGGAGAATTCCATCGACTGTAGTCTATGGGGTTGGAAAGAGTCGGACACGACTGAGTGACCATCACTTTCACTGAATTCACTAACCTTCAGGGTAGCTGCATCTGGACTATCCAGGTGCACTCCAAGAAAAAATGAATTCACAAGTGTCTTACAAGTCAGAAGACTAACAGCTAACATCTGAGCGCTTTGTTCATGCCAGGCGCTCTTCTAAACTTGACTACAGGTGGTAACTGCCGTTACCCCTCTGATGCGACACAGGGAGCTTAAAAACTAGTCCGAGGTTTTACAGTCATAAAATGGAAGAGCGCGACCAAAGCCAGGCGTCCCAGCCCCTACACAGAACGCGACCAAAGCCAGGCGTCCCAGCCCCTACACAGAACGCGACCAAAGCCAGGCGTCCCAGCCCCTACACAGAACGCGACCAAAGCCAGGCGTCCCAGCCCTTACACAGAGCGCGACCAAAGCCAGGCGTCCCAGCCCCTACACAGAACGCGACCGAAGCCAGGCGTCCCAGCCCCTACACAGAACGCGACCAAAGCCAGGCGTCCCAGCCCCTACACAGAACGCGACCAAAGCCAGGCGTCCCAGCCCCTACACAGAACGCGACCAAAGCCAGGCGTCCCAGCCCCTACACAGAGCGCGACCAAAGCCAGGCGTCCCAGCCCCTACACAGAGCGCGACCAAAGCCAGGCGTCCCAGCCCCTACACAGAACGCGATCAAAGCCAGGCGTCCCAGCCCCTACACAGAGCGCGACCAAAGCCAGGCGTCCCAGCCCCTACACAGAACGCGACCAAAGCCAGGCGTCCCAGCCCCTACACAGAACGCGACCAAAGCCAGGCGTCCCAGCCCCTACACAGAACGCGACCAAAGCCAGGCGTCCCAGCCCCTACACAGAACGCGACCAAAGCCAGGCGTCCCAGCCCCTACACAGAACGCGACCAAAGCCAGGCGTCCCAGCCCCTACACAGAACGCGAACAAAGCCAGGCGTCCCAGCCCCTACACAGAACGCGACCAAAGCCAGGCGTCCCAGCCCCTACACAGAACGCGACCAAAGCCAGGCGTCCCAGCCCCTACACAGAGCGCGACCAAAGCCAGGCGTCCCAGCCCCTACACAGAACGCGATCAAAGCCAGGCGTCCCAGCCCCTACACAGAACGCGACCAAAGCCAGGCGTCCCAGCCCCTACACAGAACGCGACCAAAGCCAGGCGTCCCAGCCCCTACACAGAACGCGACCAAAGCCAGGCGTCCCAGCCCCTACACAGAACGCGATCAAAGCCAGGCGTCCCAGCCCCTACACAGAACGCGACCAAAGCCAGGCGTCCCAGCCCCTACACAGAACGCGACCAAAGCCAGGCGTCCCAGCCCCTACACAGAACGCGACCAAAGCCAGGCGTCCCAGCCCCTACACAGAACGCGACCAAAGCCAGGCGTCCCAGCCCCTACACAGAACGCGACCAAAGCCAGGCGTCCCAGCCCCTACACAGAACGCGACCAAAGCCAGGCGTCCCAGCCCCTACACAGAACGCGACCAAAGCCAGGCGTCCCAGCCCCTACACAGAACGCGACCAAAGCCAGGCGTCCCAGCCCCTACACAGAACGCGATCAAAGCCAGGCGTCCCAGCCCCTACACAGAACGCGACCAAAGCCAGGCGTCCCAGCCCCTACACAGAACGCGATCAAAGCCAGGCGTCCCAGCCCCTACACAGAACGCGATCAAAGCCAGGCGTCCCAGCCCCTACACAGAGCGCGACCAAAGCCAGGCGTCCCAGCCCCTACACAGAGCGCGACCAAAGCCAGGCGTCCCAGCCCCTACACAGAACGCGATCAAAGCCAGGCGTCCCAGCCCCTACACAGAACGCGACCAAAGCCAGGCGTCCCAGCCCCTACACAGAACGCGACCAAAGCCAGGCGTCCCAGCCCCTACACAGAACGCGACCAAAGCCAGGCGTCCCAGCCCCTACACAGAGCGCGACCAAAGCCAGGCGTCCCAGCCCCTACACAGAGCGCGATCAAAGCCAGGCGTCCCAGCCCCTACACAGAGCGCGACCAAAGCCAGGCGTCCCAGCCCCTACACAGAACGCGACCAAAGCCAGGCGTCCCAGCCCCTACACAGAACGCGACCAAAGCCAGGCGTCCCAGCCCCTACACAGAACGCGATCAAAGCCAGGCGTCCCAGCCCCTACACAGAGCGCGACCAAAGCCAGGCGTCCCAGCCCCTACACAGAACGCGACCAAAGCCAGGCGTCCCAGCCCCTACACAGAACGCGACCAAAGCCAGGCGTCCCAGCCCCTACACAGAGCGCGACCAAAGCCAGGCGTCCCAGCCCCTACACAGAGCGCGACCAAAGCCAGGCGTCCCAGCCCCTACACAGAACGCGACCAAAGCCAGGCGTCCCAGCCCCTACACAGAGCGCGATCAAAGCCAGGCGTCCCAGCCCCTACACAGAACGCGACCAAAGCCAGGCGTCCCAGCCCCTACACAGAACGCGATCAAAGCCAGGCGTCCCAGCCCCTACACAGAGCGCGACCAAAGCCAGGCGTCCCAGCCCCTACACAGAACGCGACCAAAGCCAGGCGTCCCAGCCCCTACACAGAACGCGATCAAAGCCAGGCGTCCCAGCCCCTACACAGAACGCGATCAAAGCCAGGCGTCCCAGCCCCTACACAGAGCGCGACCAAAGCCAGGCGTCCCAGCCCCTACACAGAGCGCGACCAAAGCCAGGCGTCCCAGCCCCTACACAGACCGCGATCAAAGCCAGGCGTCCCAGCCCCTACACAGAACGCGACCAAAGCCAGGCGTCCCAGCCCCTACACAGAACGCGACCAAAGCCAGGCGTCCCAGCCCCTACACAGAACGCGACCAAAGCCAGGCGTCCCAGCCCCTACACAGAGCGCGACCAAAGCCAGGCGTCCCAGCCCCTACACAGAACGCGATCAAAGCCAGGCGTCCCAGCCCCTACACAGAGCGCGACCAAAGCCAGGCGTCCCAGCCCCTACACAGAACGCGATCAAAGCCAGGCGTCCCAGCCCCTACACAGAACGCGACCAAAGCCAGGCGTCCCAGCCCCTACACAGAACGCGATCAAAGCCAGGCGTCCCAGCCCCTACACAGAACGCGACCAAAGCCAGGCGTCCCAGCCCCTACACAGAACGCGATCAAAGCCAGGCGATCAAAGCCAGGCGTCCCAGCCCCTACACAGAGCGCGACCAAAGCCAGGCGTCCCAGCCCCTACACAGAACGCGATCAAAGCCAGGCGTCCCAGCCCCTACACAGAACGCGACCAAAGCCAGGCGTCCCAGCCCCTACACAGAACGCGACCAAAGCCAGGCGTCCCAGCCCCTACACAGAACGCGACCAAAGCCAGGCGTCCCAGCCCCTACACAGAACGTGACCAAAGCTAGGCATCCCAGCCCCTACACAGAGCGCGACCAAAGCCAGGCGTCCCAGCCCCTACACAGAGCGCGAGCAAAGCCAGGCGTCCCAGCCCCTACACAGAGCGCGAGCAAAGCCAGGCGTCCCAGCCCCTACACAGAGCGCGACCAAAGCCAGGCGTCCCAGCCCCTACACAGAACGCGACCAAAGCCAGGCGTCCCAGCCCCTACACAGAACGCGACCAAAGCCAGGCGTCCCAGCCCCTACACAGAACGCGACCAAAGCCAGGCGTCCCAGCCCCTACACAGAGCGCGACCAAAGCCAGGCGTCCCAGCCCCTACACAGAACGCGACCAAAGCCAGGCGTCCCAGCCCCTACACAGAACGCGATCAAAGCCAGGCGTCCCAGCCCCTACACAGAGCGCGACCAAAGCCAGGCGTCCCAGCCCCTACACAGAGCGCGAGCAAAGCCAGGCGTCCCAGCCCCTACACAGAGCGCGAGCAAAGCCAGGCGTCCCAGCCCCTACACAGAGCGCGAGCAAAGCCAGGCGTCCCAGCCCCTACACAGAGCGCGACCAAAGCCAGGCGTCCCAGCCCCTACACAGAGCGCGACCAAAGCCAGGCGTCCCAGCCCCTACACAGAGCGCGACCAAAGCCAGGCGTCCCAGCCCCTACACAGAACGCGACCAAAGCCAGGCGTCCCAGCCCCTACACAGAACGCGACCAAAGCCAGGCGTCCCAGCCCCTACACAGAACGCGACCAAAGCCAGGCGTCCCAGCCCCTACACAGAACGCGACCAAAGCCAGGCGTCCCAGCCCCTACACAGAACGCGACCAAAGCCAGGCGTCCCAGCCCCTACACAGAACGCGACCAAAGCCAGGCGTCCCAGCCCCTACACAGAGCGCGACCAAAGCCAGGCGTCCCAGCCCCTACACAGAGCGCGACCAAAGCCAGGCGTCCCAGCCCCTACACAGAGCGCGACCAAAGCCAGGCGTCCCAGCCCCTACACAGAGCGCGACCAAAGCCAGGCGTCCCAGCCCCTACACAGAACGCGACCAAAGCCAGGCGTCCCAGCCCCTACACAGAACGCGACCAAAGCCAGGAGTCCCAGCCCCTACACAGAACGCGATCAAAGCCAGGCGTCCCAGCCCCTACACAGAACGCGACCAAAGCCAGGCGTCCCAGCCCCTACACAGAACGCGATCAAAGCCAGGCGTCCCAGCCCCTACACAGAACGCGATCAAAGCCAGGCGTCCCAGCCCCTACACAGAGCGCGACCAAAGCCAGGCGTCCCAGCCCCTACACAGAACGCGACCAAAGCCAGGCGTCCCAGCCCCTACACAGAACGCGACCAAAGCCAGGCGTCCCAGCC